TCAATTGGAAGGCCTTATTCTAATCTCTTTTGGACAGATCTTTTCTTCGATCCATTCACGGGCTTGTCTGCAGCAAGGCTTGCACAAGTTTTGTTGTTGACGGCCGAATGTTTTGTTGCAGCGATTCATCATTGTAAGCAAGCACTCGTTTGAAGCACTTGGGAAAACGTTTGGATTGATTCAGGATGTTGATGGCGTGTTTCGGAATTGATTTGCTCCATTTCCTGTTGACTTATTTGTGCAATCAATCGACACATTATGCATTCGATCATCCATCATTTGATCATTTGATCTGAGATGAAACAATTTCTCGAAACTCTGCAATATTATGTTGATTGATGTGCGTTTTGCATGAAATCATTTGCCTGCTTTCTAACACCAGGCTGCAGCATTCCACTTCTTGTTTGGCTCTTAACAGCCGTTTAGTATGAGCGCTTTCCAAGTTGATGGTTTGCTTCATGTCATACCACCGAATCTCACTGATCATATGACAAGCGGGGGGATGAATCTCGCTCGGTCCTATGTTAAGCACACATTGAAGCAGTCCTAATCCACCAATGTGGACGGATATTGTTTGAAACCAAAAGACGAAATCAGTGTGTTTGCTTTAATAATTCATCTTTTCGTTCGTGATTACAGATGTTTGATGTGTTCGTTTCAAGCACCTAATTTGAATAATCAAGAAGCATCTTCAACGAGTAGTTTCAGTCAGATAAATATGCCATTTCGTGTCCACATCAACACCACGACAACAATAAGTTTGATTGTGAAACGTCCTTTTCAACAAGTCAGTCATCTGATCAGTTTGCGTCAGTTGCGCATTTCGAGAGCGATAACTGAGCGAGCATTAATTCAAATGTGATGATATCAATGCTGCATTTCCTTCCTTCAAACATTATATGGTACAGATGATGGTGATTTAAAAATTTAGCACATGAGACGATGCCAAAAACATTTCAGATGAATTTCAAAACCTTTTTATTTAGTCTATTTTCAGTTTTGGTTTTTTTCATTTGTTCATCAGTCAAAACTGGAAGCAGTGAGCTTCCAACATCGATGAGCGGCGTTGAGATGAGTATGGTGACATGATGAAATCACTGAATTGATCGGGTAACTTATAGCTGGGAATAAGTAATGATGACACCAATGTGTATCGCTTTAAGGAGACTAGCTAGTGGAAATATTCTTTGCACAAATTACATTATCACGAATAGTCGTTCAATTTGCTCTAACGTGTTTTCAATTTACTCCGGCAAGGCTCAGTTCGTTTCCGATTCTCGAAATTCACTTAAGATCTGCTATCGTGATTGGTCTCACCCTTAATGCTTCCAACTCCCGCTCTTGGTACAGCCTAATATGGGCATTACTCAGTCATTCCCTAGTTCATCTTCATCAGTCACTTCAGAAGTCACCTCAGAACGTTGTTACTCTAGTATAAATTCACTGAATTTATCTATCAGAGAGAGAGAGAGATTCTTCAATGAAGTGAAATTCTCGTAAACGCTGAATAACTGCAACTGTGAGATAGTTCTCACTAGTGCAGCATCTCGATAGCAGATCTTAAGCGAGTTTTGAGAATGTGAACTGATATGTTTCCGTTTTATTTCGGTGCTGAAGTCCCAAGAGAATTGATCCTTGTGAAAAATGCGAATTTCTTATTATAAATATGATTACGACTATTATTACTTGTGCTATTATTGCTATTATCGTTACCATCAGGGCACAGAGCAATTAGATTAGATTGGAACAAATAGAATGAATTCAATTATTTTAGTTTTTGAATGAATAATGAAACGAATGGCAAATGAATAGTAAAAACATTCTCTCATCGTAACCAACAATCTCGATTAATTCTCACCGGAATTACAAAGAAAACTTAAAGTAATCTCGTCTTCAAAGCGAAATTCTCAGCGAAAACTTCCGCTTTTCACTGGAACGTGGGATTGTTTATCCTTCGAATTGTTTTCTGAGTATTCCTAATAGGAGTTGCTCGGTGAAATGGCAGATTTCTCCACGAATCCAACAGCACTGCCTACTGATCACTACTGATCACGCGAGCGGATCAACGGTAACTAATCTTTTGATTCCAACTGATCAACCTCCAGCGGAGCTGTTCACCAGCTTTTTAATCACTTTTGCATCTGTTATTGTCACTGTTATCCACACATCATCCTCAATGTACTATGGATCGAGCGAATCCAATACTGTTCGATTGTTTGTGAGCATTAGAAACTGCGGAGTCGTCGTCATCAGAATATCTACGTCATGAAACTTAACAAGCACTTCTTTACAATGATCGTTATTATTTTCATAGTGATTATTCTCATATGAATGATAACTCATATGAATGTGAAAGGTAATGAGATATGCCCACGCATGCATCTACGTCTGTGGCAGTAGTAATCAACTTGTGTTTCGTGCAGATAATTATGACTAGTACTCGAGTAGCTCATTAAAATGTTGTTTACACTCGATTTTAATCGAGCCTTCTTCCCATTATTCGACGACGACGACGCAATTCTGATATTGTATAGCTCGTTCGATATCAAATATTATGTAAATTGTTTCTCAACCAAGAATTGTTATCTGTCTATGAATCATCTGGCCATCATATAAAATGTTATGAAATAATCTCATTTCCATACTAATATTCCAATAGAAACCTTTCACTATTCGTTTCATCTTTCGTTTATAGTGTTCATTGAAAATCACAACTACTTACTTACACATCGAATTATGCACTCCATCAACGTCAACGCAATATTTCTGACGCAATCATACGGTAATAATGCAACGTACTAAAAACTCATTTTAAGTTGCCTAGTATTAATCCAATATGGGTGATATTTTAATCGAGTATCGCTAATCTATTCAGTACACATTTTATAAACTTATCACATCCACTGGTATCTTGATTGGAGATCGATCAACAAAGAGTTCTGATCATCCACAAAGTTTTCACCATTATAAAATGAACTGTGATTCAGTACCATATTCAGTATCATATTCAGTATCATAGAAAAATGAAATTTGAGGCTTATTGTCTCACGTCGTCCTGCTGTGTTCTCAACATCTAACTCTTACTCAATTATGTGTTGAAATTTTCTTCATTATGGTTTTAGATATCATTGTTTCAGTATCTGTACCAATGTTTCTCATAAGGGGTGAAAATACCCATTTTGGGTAATTTGGAGGTATCAAGGGGTAATGGAGGGA